TAACTGTCTCAAGTGAAGAGCAATGATTGTGAACTGGTGCCTTCATCACCATCCTGTTGAGCCCTTCCCGCCTTGGTGACCCATCATGGGCAAGCCCTACCCCAGGGTGTCCTCTGTACCCATTATGGGCAAGCCCTACCCTCCCGTCCTCCGTACTACTACTAACGGTTTTAGCCACCACCACCTTCTCACTTAGCTTGTTCCAACTGTCTACCACTCTGTTTGCAAAATAATACTTTCTAATATTATTTGGCACCTTTGTTTCCTTAGCTTGAACCTGTGGCCTCTTGTTCTTGAAGTTGCTGGTTTCAGGAATTCCTCTTTGTTAATTTGCTCGATTCCTGTTAGTATTTTGTAAGTGGTGATCATATCACCTCTCTTTCTTCTATCTTCTAGTTTCGGCATGTTTAACGCCTCTAGTCTCTCCTCGTAACTCTTGTTCTCCAGTTCCGGAAGCCATTGTGTAGCATGCCGCTGCACCTTTTCCAGTTGCTGTGTTTCTGGAGACATGAGCGCCATACAACTGCTGCATATTCCAATTTTGATCTCATAGAGGTGTGTGTTCACCTAATTGTTGTTGCAGGGGGTTGAGCTTCGGCTCTTTGGTCCTGCCTCTCAACTACCAATCACTTGATGTACAGGTTTATGGAGTGACACAGTATATCTCCCTTACATATCTCTCTCTCTCTCTCTCTCTCTCTCTCTCTCTCTCTCTCTCTCTCTCTCTCTCTCTCTCTCTCTCTCTCTCCACAGATGCGTATAAAAGTAAACGACCTCTAACCCTGTTAGGAGGCTTAAGACTTAACTATCCTACGGCTAAGCCTTACCTACTATTTTGGCCTGGAACACAAACCGTCAATTGGTTTAGAACCAGGTCCCCAGCTGAACGAACAGAGGCGAACAGAACTAGTGCCCAGTCAATCCTCCCCAAGCAGTGATCTCATTTATTCTAAGTATGAGGGGCGGACATGACGACATGTCCGCCCCCGCGGCCTGGCTCACCTCACGGCCCTTCTCCTTAAACTCTAAACACGGGTATTTCCCCTTCCTATCTCCCCCTCACGGATAACTCCAGCTATTTACAGTAGATAACTGCTCACGGTACAGCCCTGGGTGTGGTCTGGGACCACCAGGGCCCTGGGACCACCACCTGGGACCACCAGGGCCCTGGGACCACCACGGGTCCTGGGCCGTGTAATAATAGTAACAGTTGATTGACAGTTGAGAGGCGGGCCGAAAGAGCCAGAGCTCAACCCCCCGCAAGCACAAACAACTAGGTGAAGACACACACACGTGCTGGGAGGAGACCACGTGCTGTCATCACGTGGTCTCACGTGATGACACACAGGTAGACAGACAGCAACACAAGGAGCCGAGGAGCTAGGCGTAAGGGACGATGGGAGGGTAATAATAGAGGGAAAAGTCAAAGTGGTTGTGAAAAGGGAGACGTTAAGAGAATGGAAGAGACGGCTGAGAAGTGGGAAGGGGATAGGAAAGGAGATAATAAGAGAGGAGGAGGAAATAAGAGTGAAATAAAGCTGGAAGAGGAGATGATGAGAGAGGAAGGGGTGAAAATAAGGGGGAGGGAGAGATAAGGGGGTCGATGATAGATGGAGGAGCGTGTTGAGAGCTGTAGAGGGAAGACGAGGCATAAAAAGAGCTGAGAGAGGGGAAAAGTGAAAGAGAAGAGGGAAGGAAGAAGTAAAAGAGAGTATGTATGATGTACCTATTCCATTTTTACTGTCATTGACTTCCTTCCCTTTCCATAATACACGAAGTCTATGCAAGTGCTGACATCACCAATTTCTCCATTAACAGTCCAACAGGAAACTTACATATACAGAAGTACAGAAACATGAGGAAAGTTAATGTCGCCGTGTAACTACAGTCAAGGAGACGTAACCTATAGATCTTTGGATCTTTGTAAACAGGAAGAGACTGAAATACAGTACTGTAATGACAGGGAGAGGTGGAATAATCAGGTGAAGAGAGCAGCCCGGGTGTACGGGGTGTTTGTGTAGTGGTGGTGGCTAGTGTTGGGTCCAGTGATCTATCTGTACCTGGTCCTGTAGCCTCACCCACCTGCTCCTGTAGCCTCACCCACCTGCTCCTGTAGCGTCACCCACCTGCTCCTGTAGCCTCACCCACCTGCTCCTGTAGCGTCACCCACCTGCTCCTGTAGTGTCACCCACCTTGGTCCTGCAGTGTCACCCACCAGCTCCTGTAGCCTCACCCACCTGCTCCTGTAGTGTCACCCACCTTGGTCCTGCAGTGTCACCCACCTGCTCCTGTAGCCTCACCCACCTGCTCCTGTAGCGTCACCCAACTGCTCCTATATAAGGAGCCACAAACTTCGGTAGTTCACACATACACATCTACAGTAGTTCAATAATGAAGACACTACCCAGGGCTTAGCAAGCACATCAGTTTTCTACCCACACCTTGCCCTCTACCCACGCCCCGGCGGTCCATCAAGGCCCCAGTGGTCCACCAAGGCCCGAGCGGTCCACCCACACAGAAGGGCACTCCCTCACAAGATGAACATATTCAGCCGGGCGGTCCAGCCACTCAAACAACTGGTCAAAAGTGACTTCGATTTCTCCAACATGAGTGACTTTGAGTACGACGATGAGTACGAGGAGAAGGGTAAGTGGATTTGTCTTACTGTATATATGTGTTCACCTACATGTTGCTAGTCTCAGCATCATCATCATCACATATTGCACACTTAAATGTGTCAGGCAGTAATGTAAAGCTGCTTAACACATGGGGGATACAGCTTGAACATGAGTGATACAGTGGTATACACCTCACGTCTTCCTGGGTTTACCTTATATCTAGGCTAGGACAAAAGGCCTAGCCTGGCCTAGTTTACCCTGGTCGTCCATTTATGGATTTATAATTAACTGTTGATAAATGTCCAGAGAAAACCACCACAGGAGCACAGGAACACCTCAGAAGTGTGAGAGGAATAATATATATATTTACAACAAATAAAGAGTCACTCGGTGGAACTCCCACATATCTTTCCTGTGTGTTGATTAATATGCCAGAATGATAAATGTCGAGATAGGCAGAATATTAACAGTATTACTTTACTCATGTAAAGATTAACGTAGACACTTTAGTGTCCGCAATATATGTTAAGTAGTTGTCCCACTCAAGCGAGATCGTCATCAAACAGAAATATACTGAAATCTGGACAATATATATATATATATATATATATATATATATATATATATATATATATATATATATATATATATATATATATATATATAATATCCTTTTATCTATATATATATTTTATGTTATCTATATATGATCTTTATATATATATATATATATATATATATATATATTTATATACTCACATTTACGAAACCTGTACATCTTTCCGTAAACATGGCTGCTTTGTTTACACTTATTAAATAATTTACGAGCTTGAAGCTTTCAGAATGAATGGTTATTATTGTTGTAAACAACCTCATGGTGCTTCAGAACTCATAAACTGTTTACTCACTGTAAACAAAGCCGCCATTATTGTTGAAAGATGTAGATGTTTCGTACATGGGTTGTAATTACCTAAGTGTAATTACCTAAGTGTAGTTACAGGATGAGAGCTACGCTCGTGGTGTCCCGTCTTCCCAGCACTCTTTGTCATATACTCTTTGTCATGGTTGTGTAAGTGTATTGATGACTCCTGACCCACTCGCTTGTAACACACAAGATAGGATCAAAATTCGACAGGATTTAAATTGCTTATCAAGCACCAGCTGCCTGTGGCAGTAATTGTTGTCAAGCACCAGCTGCCTGTGGCAGTAATTGTTGTCAAGCACCAGCTGCCTGTGGCAGTAATTGTTTAATTGAGGAGTAGCGGCTGTCAGTGTCTTAGAGGCAACTCAAGGATGATCAAGTCCCCTGTTGGTGCTGGGGTTTAAGCTGGGAATTTAAACATGGAGTATATTATACAAGGTTTGTTTTCCTCACAACTATGCTCACCCATCTTCATCCACCACTCCTACATCACCCACCGTCATCCACCACACCTACATCACCCACCGTCATCCACCACACCTACATCACCTACCGTCATCCACCACACCTACATCACCTACCGTCATCCACCACACCTACATCACCCACCGTCATCCATCACACCTACATCACCCACCGTCATCCATCACACCTACATCACCCACCGTCATCCACCACACCTACATCACCTACCGTCATCCACCACACCTACATCACCCACCGTCACCACCCACTCACAATGTGGCGCCAAATTGACAAGATTTAATTATCATGTAAATAGAAAATTAAAATTTACCATGAATCGATAATTTCCTGACTATATTTTGTCTCTCTCTCTCTCTCTCTCTCTCTCTCTCTCTCTCTCTCTCTCTCTCTCTCTCTCTCTCTCTCTCTCTCTCTCTCTCTCTCTCTCTCTCTCTCTCTCTCTCTCTCGTGATAGAAATTTGCAAATAAAAAATAAATATAATTTTGTATAGCAAGTGAAGGCGGGATTTTGTTATCGCTCCTCACATCAAAATGTGTCCAAGGGAGGGGGGGGGGGTTGAGGGAAGAAAGAGAGAAAGAGAAAGAGAGAGAGAGAGAGAGAGAGAGAGAGAGAGAGAGAGAGAGAGAGAGAGAGAGAGAGAGAGAGAGAGAGAGAGAGAGAGAGAGAGAGAGAGAGGGAGGTACACACACACACACCCATACAGATAGAGAGTACACTTACCAATCGTAAGTTTAGAGTAGGTTAACAATGAGTAATATCTGTTTTCTGATGAATATAGTAATTTCTGCCCGAAACGCTGCGCGTACCAGTGGCTTTACAAGATTGTAAATACTATGTTATGTATTCTCTCTATCCCAATGTACCTTCGTGTATAAATAAATAATAAATAAATAAATAAATAAATAAATAAATAAATAAATATCTCGTGTGTGTGTATGAAGTAAGACTTAAGTGTGTACATCTTGGTCCACAGGAGAGTTCGACGTGTACACCATGGAGACAGCCATGCCTAAGATAGACTGGGATGCCATCGAGGCCCACCTCAAGGCCACCAAGGAGGAGGAACGGAGGGTGAGTACCAGTCTTCACCTTCTGTATTGGTGCTCTCTTATCTGTCCTCCAGGGGCTCTTATCTGTCCTCCAGGTGCTCTCTTATCTGACCTCCAGGGGCTCTCTTATCTGTCCTCCAGGTGCTCTCTTATCTGTCCTCCAGGGGCTCTCTTATCTGACCTCCAGGTGCTCTCTTATCTGTCCTCCAGGGGCTCTCTTATCTGACCTCCAGGGGCTCTCTTATCTGTCCTCCAGGTGCTCTCTTATCTGACCTCCAGGTGCTCTCTTATCTGACCTCCAGGGGCTCTCTTATCTGACCTCCAGGGGCTCTCTTATCTGACCTCCAGGGGCTCTCTTATCTGTCCTCCAGATGCTCTCTTATCTGACCTCCAGGGGCTCTCTTATCTGACCTCCAGATGCTCTCTTATCTGACCTCCAGGGGCTCTCTTATCTGACCTCCAGGGGCTCTCTTATCTGACCTCCAGATGCTCTCTTATCTGACCTCCAGGGGCTCTCTTATCTGACCTCCAGGGGCTCTCTTATCTGTCCTCCAGATGCTCTCTTATCTGACCTCCAGGGGCTCTCTTATCTGACCTCCAGATGCTCTCTTATCTGACCTCCAGGTGCTCTTGTCTCTTGTTCCAGTGTTTGGTTACTGTCCTCCAGGGGCTCTTGTCTCTTGTTCCAGTGTTTGGTTACTGACCTCCAGGTGCTCTTGTCTCTTGTTCCAGTGTTTGGTTACTGTCCTCCAGGTGCTCTTGTCTCTTGTTCCAGTGTTTGGTTACTGTCCTCCAGGGGCTCTTGTCTCTTGTTCCAGTGTTTGGTTACTGTCCTCCAGGGGCTCTTGTCTCTTGTTCCAGTGATTGGTTACTGACCTCCAGGGCTCTCGTCTCTTGTTCACAAGAGTTCTATCATTCTTGTACAGCCACCAGCACGCATAGTTTTCGGGCAGGTCCTTAATCCTAATTGTTCCCTGGAATACGACCCGCCAAATCGTTTAACAACCAGGTACCCGTTCACTACTGGGTGAACAGAGGCTACAGTTAAGTTTTGACGCCTAGTCTTTCCTGCACACAGAACAGAAACGGTTGGGTACATTTCCCTTCCGCTAATACCTCTGTTGTGGCGTTTGTGGGACTTCGATACAAAGTATATATGTAGGAAGTCTTCCTGTCCCTGACCAAACTAATTATTCTTGTGCTTTATCTGTGGTCCCAGAGCTTGAGACTTGCCTTGTTAACGGCGCCAGCACTCACGGCTGTAGACGCGTTCATAGCTGACTGCAAATGTAATCATCTATGTAGGTCTGCACAAGATCCTGTCTGCGCAGGTCTGTGTAGCAGTGCCTGTCTGCGCAGGTCTGTGTAGCAGTGTCTGCGCAGGTCTGTGTAGCAGCACCTGTCTGCGCAGGTCTGTGTAGCAGTGCCTGTCTGCGCAGGTCTGTGTAGCAGTGCTTGCGCAGGTCTGTGTAGCAGTGCCTGCGCAGGTCTGTGTAGCAGTGCCTGTCTGCACTACGGTCTGTGTAGCAGTGCCTGTCTGCACAACGGTCTGTGTAGCAGTGCCTGCGCAGGTCTGTGTAGCAGTGCCTGCGCAGGTCTGTGTAGCAGTGCCTGCGCAGGTCTGTGTAGCAGTGCCTGTCTGCACAACGGGTTGCATCACCCGGGAGTAGCGATAGCCAAGCCCCAGCTGTTATTCTCACTGTTATCACTTTCACAAGCTACTCTGAGCGTAAGATCAACTTCCGCAAGTCGTAAGTCAATGGTGCATAGTTGTGTAAGTCATGTCCGAGTGGTCGCCCCGGGCACACGGCGCGGCTCTGCTGGTGGTACTCTAATTTGCTGTTGGGCTTAATACCTATTTAGACGGTTATTAAGGCCTATAAGTTAGGTTAAGGTTATTAAGGCCTATAGGTTAGGTTAAGGTTATTAAGGCCTATAGGTTAGGTTAAGGTTATTAAGGCCTATAGGTTAGGTTAAGGTTATTAAGGCCTATAAGTTAGGTTAAGGTTATTAAGGCCTATAGGTTAGGTTAAGGTTATTAAGGCCTATAGGTTAGGTTAAGGTTATTAAGGCCTATAAGTTAGGTTAAGGTTATTAAGGCCTATAGGTTAGGTTAAGGTTATTAAGGCCTATAGGTTAGGTTAAGGTTATTAAGGCCTATAGGTTAGGTTAAGGTTATTAAGGCCTATAGGTTAGGTTAAGGTTATTAAGGCCTATAGGTTAGGTTAAGGTTATTAAGGCCTATTATCAACCTCTACAGGGTTAAGGCCATAGGTCATAGGTTGAGCTTCGGCTCTTTGGTCTCGCCTCTCAACCGTGAATCCGCATAAAATGATCAGTGTTTTGTGATCGTCAATTGCATATATATATATATATATATATATATATATATATATATATATATATATATATATATATATATATATATATATATATATATATATATATATATATATATATATATATATATATATATATATATATATATATATATATATATATATATATATATATATATATATATATATATATATATATATATATATATATATATATATATATATATATATATATATATATATATATTATATATATATATATATATATATATATATATATATATATATATATATATATATATATATATATATATATATATATATATATCCACTAAAATAATGTGTTTACACAGTACATATTGCCGGCCGAGTCATCATGTAGTCACCAACAATATACCGCCAACCATTGTTCATTAAAATAGCATAGTTCAAGGTTTACCATTAACCACTCTTCCAAAAATGCTCCTCTTATCTCTCCAATTGTAGTTTATGAGTTAATTGTTGAAGCGCAGTTCGTCAACACTCTAAATTCTTTCCCTGGATTGTATACACTTACAGTTTATGTGGTGACTCTCCAAGGTTAGTGTACACACCAGTACTGACTCCCCGGAGTCAGCACCTGGGGACAAGCACACACACACATGTAACTGCCAGTTAAAGAGTTAACCAGGCTACTCCTACGCCTTATATAAAGGGGAAACATGGTAGAAATAGCGTCCAACTGTCCCAAACCTCGCGGTCTCTTGCTAACAGATTTTCCTCCAATATTCGAAATTTAATCTTCACATTGTGTGGCTTTGATAATGATGTAATTTATAATTAAGTAATATGTTATCTGTTAATGCGAAATTTAGATATAATGAAGAAAATAGGTAAGATTGGGTTGAGTTTTCCAGTCATAGGATTCGGAGTGTGGGTGACGTCAGAGGTATGGGTGACGTCACAGATGTCGGGGCCGTCAGCTGAGCATGGAAAACAATGAGAGTTGGCGGTAGTGTGCCGAGGTTGGCCGTCTGTGCTGTGGGTCTGTGTCTGTCTGTCTGTCTCCACACTAACGGCGGCACTCTAACTACCAGTAAAGCGAGGACACTATAAGCACCTTCTGGCTTACAGGCGTTTGTCTGTGCGTCAAATGTCATAAATTGTGTACGTGAGGGGTTAATTTTCCCTGTAGTGGTGTGAGCTGTTAAGTCACGGTTGAAAGTAGCATTGTGACGTTCCAGCGGAGATGTTACGTGGCCGAGTACCAGTGGTAGCCTCGTCTATGGTACCTGCAGTGGTATCTCCCCCGCGTGATTATAAGATGTGGTGAGAAGCTCCAATAGTTTCTGGAGACGTTATGGGAAGTATTGAGAAGTGTGTGATAATGGTGCATGATATGACCAAGTGATATATCACCAGCTTATGTACACCGCTTCCTAAACCTTCTCGCTGACCTTCAACGCTCTAGAAAATTGTATCAAATTTGTATTGAGCTAAACTCGTTTAATTGTCAAACACATATTCTCACTTATAACAGCAAATTTAGATGTATAAAACAATTATAGAACGGCTTTTGGTGTTGTATTATAAGAATCTATACATTAAGGTCGGATAGCCTCTCCATCTTGCTTCATATATGATGGCGCTGTTATCAAGTCAACTGCCCGCACAACTACCTTTAGTGGAATAAACTCTCGGTCAAATGTCATGCTAAATTTCATAACACGTATGTCAGGGATGTACAAGAAATTCGAATTTTATAGAAATCTATACTACTGAAGGCTATAATATAGTTCTTAAAATTGGCGCACTGATATACTATTGACTTCTATGGTGGAAGTGTAGATGTGCAGCTTGACTGGATGTAATCGACCCTGGTGAGACCCACTTGGGTGTATACACAGAGATTACTAGTCGTGGACTGTACTCAGGACTAAGGTATACTTGCTGGTTGGTTAGTAAGCTGTTGTATTGCCTTAATGACCTTACATAGCTTGTTAGACCTTAAGCCAACACCAAACCACATCTCTGGCTGGTTCACTGTGCGAGAATCAGACGTCATTTAGATGGTTCATTACATTACACAACCAACGATTCTTGGTTCATCGTTGGCGCCGAGCGGCCGTCTTGTGGGCCGTTGTGCCTGGCCACCGCATGAGAACGTGACGCCATTTTGATCATTAGCTCTTGCTACATCCGTCTGGGCCAGTGGTGGATCTAGAGTGTGTGTGTGTGTGGGGCCCTGAAGCTTGAACCCTTCGTAACCATCAACGAGGTCTGGGTAACCACTGTTATCTTCCTCAGTGGGGTTGTTCCACCGCAGATACTAAAATTTTTGCGTAAATTTAGCCACTACATATCAGATTTTAATTAAATCAGATGTAAATCAAAACCTATTAAGCAATGTGGACTAAGTCATTTCTAGGGCCTCTCCGGGGGTCCTGAAGCTTAAACTTAGTTTCAAGGTAGATCGGCCCCAGCGTTTGGCACTTGTGGTCTCCGGTCCGGACTGATACTAGGCTTGGCGGCGGCAAGTATCTATCAAAGAATATGTGCCACCAGGTGCAGTACTCTGCCGCAGACGGGCGACGTGTATATATAGCTCACATATAGTCGCAAGGCTTCCCTGTTACTTACACGGGAACGCCACCAACCCATTTCCTCAATTCATTTTGTCGGGGACGTCCCGCCAAACACACCG